TTCATATCAAAGGAACTAGTCAACGACTAGACTTAATAGAAACTGATGAACAAGAATTAAGATTAGCTCCTTTCGGCATTAAGAATCCTAAGCCACGCATAATCACTCAAACTCAACTTAATGTAAAAATAGATGCAGATGAGACTATCCAATTACGCGCCAGTGTAATCGAATATTTAACTAATGAATTACATGTTGTCAAAATACCAATAGCCAACCACACAATGAAGCTAAAAAATTATTGGAAACGACCTGACATCTTAATCGGAGCAGATCATTTCTTCAAATTTGTGGAATTGGAAAGAATCGAAACATTAAAATCAGGATTCTCACTACTTCACACAAAGGTTGGACCAATGATTGCGGGAAGTGGCGATATAAATCAATTGTGTGGAAAAAAGTACGACACATATTTCAAACACAATATCCACTTTAACCATAGGATCAGAAATAGAAAATTTCTGGAAACTAGAAGTCATGGGAATACAAGAAGGACCTAATGCCGATGACGATGAAGAGGCACTGAAGCAATTTAAGAAATCTATAACGAAGTATAATAACAGATATCAAGTAAGATGGCCATGGAAAGAATCGAAGGATAAGTTAAGTAACAACTATGGACTATGTCTAGGACGTCTAAAAAATTTAGTCAAGCGGTTACAACAAGAATCAATTCTTAGCCTATATAATAATATAATCGAAGAACAGAAACAACTGGATATAATCGAGGACACAGACACCAATGAAATGATGGGCATCATACACTACTTACCACATCATGGAGTATTAACTCCTAACAAAAATACTACGAAACTAAGAATAGTGTATGATGCCTCAGCACACCTTCATGGAAAGAAAAGTTTGAACGAAGTCTTATATAGAGGCCCAGTATTGCTACCGGATTTAGTCGGAGTACTACTAAGATTCCGAATGATGGAAATAGTAATAATTGCAGATGTTAAAAAGGCATTTTTACAAATAGAGTTACATCCGGAAGATAGAGATTCTACTAGATTTCTTTGGTTACAAGATATTACCAAAGATGTCACTGAAGAAATATAAAATGTTATAGATTTAAAAGAATTCCCTTCGGAGTCATCTCATCACCCTTTTTATTATCGGCTACACTAAACTATCATCTGGAAACTTATGGTAATAAGACAGCCTCCGAGATAAGGAAGAATATCTACGTGGACAATATCACATTATCTGCAAATGGAATTGAAGAAGCACTAATAAAATATGAAGAAACAAAAATTATCTTCAGTGAAGCGGCAATGAATGTAAGAGAATTTCTTTCTAACGATGAAGAATTTAATGAAAGAATAGCAGACTATGATAAACCAACGGTTATAAAAAACAATTTTCTTGGAATCAATTGGATCCATGATTTAGATGTTATTCGTATAACACTGAAACCATGGACCGGAAAACACATCACTAAGAGAACTATTTTACAATTCGTCGCTTCACAATATGACCCATTAGGGTTTCTGACACCATCGATGATCTTATTCAAACTATTTCTCCAGTATTTATGGAAGCAGAACATAGCTTGGGATCAACTCTTAACCCAAGAAGATGAACAGCAATGGTACAAGATGATAAAAAAATGGCCGTCTAATATAATTGATTTACCGAGATTCGTAATAAATCCTGCAAATCAATTGGAGATTCACGTATTTACTGATGCATCTAAATTTGCATACGCTGCTGCAGTGTATATCCTCAATACAAGAAATACAACTATGAAAGGAACTTCATTTCTAATATATGCCAAATCCCGGATAGCTCCAATTAAAGGAATATTTATACCAAGACTCGAATTACTATCAGTATTAATTGGAGTAAGAGCCGCACATTTTGTATTAAAACAATTAGAATTGAAAGATATACCGGTAACCCTATGGTCGGACTCAAAATGTGCTTTATTTTGGATCAAAAATTATTCTAAACTACTTCCTCGATTTGTTCAAAATAGGGTTGAAGAAATTCGAAAGGCAAACTTTACCTTTCGATATATATCAAGTGAGCACAACCCCGTAGACGTAGCAACCAGAGGAATGTCACCAGCTAAACTTCGAAATTGTGAATCATGGTGGAAAGGCCCAAATTGGCTAACAGAGACAAAAACTAAATGGCCGCAATGGAGATTCAGTTATGCAGGGGAAGATGAATTCAGTATAGCTATTATAGCAACGATTACAAAAATGAAACGAATTATTCAATCAAAGAATTTTCACTTCATAGATACAAGTCGTTTTAGCGAATGGACTAGATTACTGGAAACTACTTTATGGGCTCTGAAATTCATCAAGCTATATCTCAAAGGAAAAATACCATGGTTGCAATCGATATCTCCAAATAAAGATTCTATAACCAAAGCTAATTATGATAAAGCGGAGTGGATATTGATCAAGCAAGCACAATCTGACGACATAAACGAGCAACAAATAAACACTTGGAACTTATATTACGATAAAACTGACAACTTATGGCGATCAAAAAGTCGTCTCGAAAACGCAGATTTAGATACGGAAAGTAAATTTCCTATTTATTTACCAAACCGCAATCACATTACTAAACTTATTATCAAGCATAAGCATGAAGAGCTTTACCATGCAGGAATTGGACACACACTGTGTGAATTAAGACAAAAGTTTTGGATACCAAGCGGTAGATCTGCAGTAAAACGAACCATAAATGAATGCATGGCATGTAAACGATGGAAAGCAAAGCCATTCAAATTGCCGTTAACGCCAAATCTACCAAAGTCCCGAGTTAAAAAATCAAGAATCTTTGAACAGGTCGGTCTTGATTATTTGGGACCACTTTCAATTAAGAATGACACTGGAATAGTCAAAAGGTGGATAGCTCTGTTCACCTGCTTTACTACAAGAGCAGTTCACTTAGAACCGGTAGAAAACTTGTCAGCTGAAATGTTCATGCATATATTCCGTAGATTTGTATCGCGACGAGGATATCCTAAACTTGTTCTAAGCGACAATACTAGTCAATTCCAATTTGTATTCAAAATTATCATGGACCAAAACAAATATTTTTTCGTTTCAAACGGAATAATATGGAAAAATATTATACCCAAAGCACCATGGAGCGGAGGAGTTTATGAAAGAATGATTGGACTAACGAAAGGAGCACTCAAAAGGGCAATAGGTAGAAAACTTTTATGGGAAAGAGAATTCGTCACACTAACAGTAGAAATTGAAGGAATACTTAATACCCGACCATCAACTTACTTAAATTTTGATGATTACAAAATCATAAGGCCTATTGATTTTATTACACCATATGTCTCATTAGATATACCAACAAATGAAGATAGTACACAAGATGAGTTCACACTTCACCCATTGAATACTAAGGAAAAATTAGTCAATTATTGGTCTAATACTCTTAAAGCATTAGATGTATTTCGGGAAATTTGGAAAAACGAATATCTGAGTAGTCTTAGAGAACGTACCCAGAGAGGAATAGTATCTCCTAAAAGAGTGGAAAAAAGAACTCCGCGTCGTGGTAAAATAGTATTATTAAATGAACCCGGACTACCAAGAGGAATATGGAAGCTAGTAAAGATTCAAGAGCTTAATATTGGAAAGGATGGAGGAGTTAGGAGTGTAATGGTGCAAACCCCCCATGGAAAACTCCTCAAAAGAGCAATTAACTTACTCTATCCTTTGGAAGTACAAGAAGTGGACAATGAAGAAGTCAAAACAACGACAGAGGATAAACCAAACGAAAAACCAATCGCTCTCCAAACAAGAGGAGCAAAAAGGAGAAGAGAACTTATTAAGTCGAGTATTACAACTAAAAATTTATTTTTAATAACTACTATTCTTTCATTGTTTCTTCCAGTTACTTCAAATGGAAATTGTAAATGGATTTCTGGTATCCCGTTTAATCTTCCGCAGAAGTGGAATTGTGATAACCAATTCACGACAAATTTCACACTAAATGAGATATCAGTCTATACTAAAACTCATGTAAAGATACCTGCCCTCAAGTGTAGTAATATCACCCGCACAGTATGTACTAAAGCTTTCTTAAGAATTTCTCTATCAGTGGAGTCAGATCAAACCACTATTTCGGCAGTTACCTCACACTTTTGTAAATTGCTGGATAAGAAAAGATTAAGCGGAAGGGATTTTCAACAGATATCTCCAAACCAATGGAGAACAGTAAACAATGTGCAATATTCTTATGGATGGTTTGGAATTCGATGCCAATCAACAACAAATTTCCTACTGCAAGAAGAAGAAATATTCATCTATGAGGAAAGGAAACAGTATCGGATCTCGACAGTATCCAACATTGCCTCACACAAAGCGGAAAATACATAACTAATACAAACATAGTTCTATGGAACGGAACAGAAGCCGTGAGTAAGTGCTTATATCGAAAGATTGGAAATTACCAAGCACGAGTCTTTGACACTCACATCATTGTTGATGAACTTCAAATGGCATTTACATTCAAGTCTAATGAAACAATTGATTCAAGAAACTGCGATTTCATCAATCCCAATACAATGGACAACAATATCGTAATCAACAAAATAAATATACTAAAACCTTTATCAAGATACAAACCAGATGAATTCAACTTATAAAGGATTACTCATGATGGAAAACACTAAAGAAAAGGGAACTAGATCCGGAAAATACCAAACTTACAATATCTCTATAATA